TTCTCCTTCTCTCTGTGTAACTGACTTTTGAATAAATAAACAAATCTTAAAGGAAGAAGCACCATCTTTCCACAGTACTTGAGATACTCAATACGGAGCTAACACAGTGAAACAGAGGCAAAGGCAAAGCCTTCACAGTTGTGCGATTTCAGCAGCAAAACTGGGTGGTGGACTGAAACACGACAGGGACAAAGCGTGTACAAAGAGATAAAACAGATGACAAAATATTGAGAATTAGCAGGCAAAACCGTATCGCAAGCAACATTTTAAATTGTCATTTTTAAGCAATTGCAACTATTTAAACATATAAAACAAATATAAAGTGAGCTTTTAGTATCATTGATGTGATTTTTTAAAAAAATGTTAAAACTTGATGGTATGGCTGGGCCGTGGTATAGTAGGTTAAGCTTCTTTCTGCAGCGTCGGCATTCCATACGGGCACCGGTGCCTGTCCCCGGCTGCTGCTCTTCTGGTCCAGCTCTCTGCTGTGACCTGGGAGAGCAGCAGAAGATGCCCAAACCCTTGGGCCCCTGCACCCACGTGGGAGACCTAGAAGAAGCTCCTGGCTCCTGGCTTTGGATCGGTCCAGCTCTGGCCATTGCGGCCATTTGGGGAGTGAACCAGCAGATGGAAGGCCTCTCTCTGTGTCTGTAACTCTAACTCTCAAATAAATAAATAAAATCTTAAACACACACACACACACACACACACAACTTGATGGTATACTCAGAGCATGTGTTAGAAAGCTAAAATGTTAAGTGAGAAGAATGTATGGCAAGTCGTCTTAAGTTTTCTATCAAACCCTGATTTCTGGTTAATCCTTCTAAGTATTGTCTTTTTCTTTTAAGGATTTAATTATTTATATGAAAGTCAGAATTAGAGATGATCCGTCTGCTGGTTCCCTCCTCCAGATAGCTGCAACAGCCAGCGCTGGGCCAGGACAAAGCCAGGAGCCAGGAACCACTTGCAGGTCTCCTACGTGTGTGGCAGGGGCCCGAGTACTTGGGCCATCCTCCACTGCCTTTGCAGGCACATTAGCAGGGGAGTGGATTGGAACTGGAGCGGCTGGGACACATGTGGGATGCTAGTCTCACAGGTGGTGGCTTTACTCACTACGCCACAGCACTAACCCTAGTATTATTATTGTTATTTTTTTTTTTTTTTAGGATTTTATTTATTTATTTGAGAGGTAGTTACAGACAGTGGGAGGGAGAGACAGAGAGGCCTTCCTTCCGTTGGTTCACTCCCCAAATGGCTGCAACAGCCAGAGCTGTGCCGATCCGAAGCCAGGAGCCAGGAGCTTCTTCTTGGTCTCCCCTGCAGGTGCGGGGGCCCAAGCACTTGGGCCATCCTCCACTGCCTTCCCAGGCCACAGCAGAGAGCTGGCCTGGAAGAGGAGCAGCCAGGACTAAAACCGGTGCCCATATGGGATGGTGGCGCCGCAGGCGGAGGATTAACCTACTGCACCACAGCGCGGCCCCTCCCAGTATTATTCTTTAAGTCCATGGTGGACAAGGTTTGTAAGGTTTCCTGAAGTTTTCATGTCTCTGTCTTTGAGTAAATAGTTAGACCATATTGAAAATTCCCAAGTCTGGTAAATTAGGTTCAAAGTATTCTGGACTTTTAGAAACACCACCTGATAACAGTTGGCTGGAGTGTGCTGCCTTCAAATGTTTGTCTCATCAATCTTGTCTTTTTTCATTTCTTAAGTAAACACACCTACAACCCTCAATAAAGAAATTTGATGAGATGGCTAACATAACCCCAGACCCATGGAACTCGCTAGTGATCTTACCGTGGGCGTAGGGGCGCCCCCGCCAGGCCACCCTATGCTCCAGGGCGCTTCACCACCCGCCACTCAAGATAGGAATGGAGATTGTGTCGTCCAGACAGCTGAGACAGGCTCAGCTCGTGGGAAACTCGCTCTCATCCGGTGGTACCAGAGCGGATCCTCCACCCGGCTTGCTTTTTTCTGAAGCTCTTACCCGTCTCCACTGCCTTTTTGTCACATCTCAGAAGTGGTTTTGCCGTACCTAGCGGTCTCCGTAGTGAAAGACAGTGCTTTTGTTCAAGAAACTTGGGCAACTAAATTATACGTGAATACAATTAGAGGCCATTTTTTATAGACACGTAAGGAGCATGTGATGATTTTCTAGCAAAAGCTCATGATGGGGTGTTAGATAGATTAGTTTTCTTCAGGGCTAGACTGAAAGTACCAAACTCTGAAACAGTTTTAGAAAATTTAAGTTAAGCTGAGGGAAAAGACCCTGAAGAGAGAACAGAAGAGCATGGTGGCCGGTGATCCGTGGTGCGTCAGAGGAGCCAGTCCGCTGGAGAGTGCCCCCTGTGTGCTCCACGCAGTCGCTAGGAGAGCGAGCTTCCGTCTGCCGGTTCACTCCCAGGTGGCAGTGCTGGGCCAGGCTGAAGCCAGGAGCCTGACTAGGGGCCAGTTCATAGCCAGCGGGTCAGAAGCGGTTAAACAGCCTGGGCCCGTGTTGTGGCACCTTGAGTTAAGCCAGCATCCAGTATGAGTGCTGATTTGAGTCCCAGTCCTGGCTGCTCCCTTCCAGTCATCCGGGAAAGCAGCACAGATGGCCCGAGTGCTTAGGCCTCTACCATCCATGCGGGAGAGCGGGTGGAGTTCCTGGCACTTGGCTTTGGCCTGGGCCAGCCTGGGCCATCTAAAAGTAGAGGGAAAGGGGACCAGAGAGGACGAAGTGTGCATTTCACTGGCTCCTGTCCACGGCAAACAAGGCCTTCCCCCCAGCCGGCCTTGCTTCTCTCTCCTCTGAGCTCCAAGATGGCCTTTCTTTTTGTTTTAATTACAAAATGACCATGTGAGTACATTCCAGAAAGATACTTAAATTACTCCCTTAACTTTGATCCCTTCCCTTCCCTTCCCTCCCCCTCCCCTCCCCCTCCTCTCCCCTCCCGTCCCCCTCCCTTCCCTCCCTTCCCTTCCCCCTTCCTTCCCCTTCCTTCCCCCTTCCTTCCCCTTTCCCTTCCCCCTTCCTTCCCCCTTCCTTCCTTCCCCTTCCCTTCCCCCTTCCTTCCCCCTTCCTCCCTTCCCCCTTCCTTCCTTCCCCCTTCCTTCCTTCCCCTTCCTTCCCCTTCCCTTCCTTCCTTCCTTCCCCCTTCCTTCCTTCCCCCTCCTTCCTTCCTTCCTTCCTTCCTCCCTCCCTCCCTCCCTCCCTCCCTCCCTTCCTTCCTTCCTTCCGACAGAGTGACAGAGAGACAGAGAGACAGAGAGAGGTCTTCTATCCACTGGTTCACTCCCCAGATGGCTGCAAGCTGGCTGATCTGAAGCCAGGAGCCTGGAGCTTCTTCTGGGTCTTCCACGTGGCTGCAGAGGGCCAAGGAGTCGGGCTTTTACTGCTTTCCCAGGATGTAGCAGAGAGCTGATCCCATCCATTTATATAAAAGGAAGTTTTCCTTGCTCTCTAGTAGGTATATATGAGTGTAGAAAGGAGTATGTTTTGTATAACATCGGTTTTTTTTTGAAACATTTATTTATTTATTTGAAAGACAGACTTACAGAGAGGAGAGGCACACACAGAGAGGTCTTCCATCTGCTGGTTCACTTCCCAGATGGCTGCAACAGCCTGGAGCTGCACTGATCCAAAGCCAGGAGCTTCTTCCCGGTCTCCCAAGAGGGTTCAGGGGCCTACAGACTTGGACCATCTTTTACTGCTTTCCCAGGCCACAGCAGAGAGCTGGATGGGAAGTGGAGCAGCAGGGACTTGAACTGGCACCCATATTGGATGCTGGCACAGCAGGCGGCGGCTTTACCTGCTACGCCACAGCTCTGGCCCCATTACATTAGTTTTGTCGTAAAATACACTGCCTTCCTGTTTGATTTGTTTACTTAACTGTAGGTGTTAGTGTGTCTTGTCACATATGTTGATTGTTCTAGTTCTTGGATTTAGCTATGAATTTAACCTTTCTACTATTGTTTTCCTATATTGTTACCATGTTTTATTAATACAGTGTTGCAGTAGAATCCTTGTACGTTGTGAGAATTTTTCTAGGGTATGAAGAAACGGATTTGCTACTCCTAGAAATTTTTACTGTGTTCAGGTACTGCTGCCACTACTACCACCAATACGACTACCACCACACTGTTCGTATCACTGTGTGGGAAATAGGTTGTAGATTGAGTGGACGGTATGTCACTTCTGTTGGGAGATGTGTCCAGATATGTCATAGGTACATATGTGATAATTCGGCTGTTAACACTTGAAATAGTACTAAACAAGGGGCCGGGCTGTGGCACAGTGGGTTAGCACCCTGGCCTGAAGCGCCAGCATCCTCCTAGGGGTGTGTGTGTGTGTGTGTGAGAGAGAGAGAGAGAGGAGAGAAGAGAGAGTCACTCACTCTCTGACACTCAAATGCCAATTAAAGTTTTTTTCTGATCAATTAGGTGAGGTGTGGGAGTTGGGGCAGCAGGGAGCAAGCAGTCTGATTTTTTTTTAGTGTTTAGTTGATATAGAAAAAAGTATATTTAAAGTGTAGAATTAGTTTGTGGTAGCTGACATGACACCTTTCAGCTACTGGTATCCTAATGAAGAATGTGGAATCGTCTTGGGTTTTCTAGATATTACAGTGAGAGCTGTACCTTATTGTGCTTTCTGTTTAGTGTTTGGATTTTAAGTGAAGGTACCTCAGAGTTCATGGAACGTAGAATTATAAGTTTATTTTGATACAAGGATTTTGAAATCCATACGTACGAGTGTTCTTGGAGAAGCCCATGGAAGTGTGTATTATAAACTACTGTGTGTAGATTTCAAAATGTTTTTGCACCAAAATAAACATATAGTCATTTTATGTTTCTGTAAACTTTTCAAGTGACCAAACATTTTAAAATTTTAACTCTTGGTCTTAATATCTTTTAAAACAAAAAGGAATGGTTAAATATTATTAACATTCTATAAACTTAGTAAACAACTAAATTATATTGTACATAATAGGTGTTTTTAATATGCAACTTTTTTTTCTTAAAGAGATGTGAAAGCTGGAAATATTCTTCTTGGAGAAGATGGATCAGTGCAGATTGCAGGTAATTGGTGTTCGTGGTTTTGGTCAGTGGTGGGGCCCGCTGCGTCCCTCGAACCAGGCGCCCAGTGCCGGCTCGTCCCTGCCGACTCGGCTTCCTGCAGTCGCCTTCAGTCCTGATCTTCTGTTTGCCTTCCAGTGCTCAGGGCTGCCGTGGGTCCTGCCGCTCTGTGCTTTCCTGTGCGGGGGGGTGGTGAGTGAGGCCGCACCTGTGCTGGGCGTGGCCTGTGTCAGGAGAGCGCCTGGGGAGCGGACGTGTGCTAGGCTCAGTGGCCGCACTGAAGGGTCGGTCAAGAGCTGGAGTCCAGGCTGGGACTCCGTCACGGCCGGGAAGCTGCCTCAGTCAGACCAGCTTCCTCTCGGGTTGTAGGACACTCAGTTCGTAAGCCACACAAATCGTAAATTACTTCCTCAGCTGTTAGATGGTAATTTAGACAAGCATCTTCATGTCCTTGAGGTAAGATAGTGCTTTTTATTTTATTTTTGTGCTAAATGGCAGAAGAGATGATTTATTGTACTTGTGTCACACTTGGCCACGACTGATAAAGGTGTCGTATGCACTCGTCAGCTAAAACAGGACCACAGACACCAGTGACAGTCACACGTGAAGGTATTGAAGGAGAGGCAGGGCAGCGGCAGACTGTCGGGACCAACATGCCGCCAGAGCGCGGCCCCAGCAGGGCTCACACAGCTGTTTCTAGTGCTCTGTCCACTAGGGCTCACAGTTTTCACCCCTGGTATGCAGTGATCAACAACAGAAAGCCCAGACTATGCTTGTGAGATAACAGGTAACAATAACAGACCCCAGATACGGTTGTAGCGTAACAGTGCAGGGCGCAGTTCGTGGGACTTGGGCCCACATAGTTCCACAAGATGCACCCTTAGCCGTTAGCAAGCAGAGCTAATATGTACAGCAGTTAGCTTTTAGCCGCACTCACTCCATTTTGATTTCGACTCACAGAGGAACTAGTCCGGAGTGGCCCAGGCCCAGGCAGAGGCCGCCAGGGGCTGTGTTTCGGTGTCAGCAAAGTGGTCTCATAGGTGGTTTCTCCGACGTGTTAGCGATCGTAGTTCCAGATCTTTCAAGACACGTTGTAGAGAGTAGCAGGCAGTCCCCGGGCCGCCACCTCTCCTGGCTGCGGTGCCCAGCCCAGCCTTCACCTGACCTCTCCTCCTCCTCACTGTGCACTTCAGCCTCTGCACTCGGTCCTGCCCCACGAGGCTCTGACACGCAGAGGCTTTCAAGAAGACGGCGCTGCAGCCAAGAGGGAAGGCAGTACTTTCTAATGCTGCATAAAGATCTAACATGGGGGCCGGCACCGTGCGCAGGCATCCACGTGGGCGGCGGTTCCAGTCCCGGCTGCTCCTCTTCCAGGCCAGCTCTCTGCTGTGGCCTGGGAAGGCAGTGGAGGATGGCCCGAATGCTGGGCCCTGCACCCCATGGGAGACCAGGAGGAAGCACCTGGCTCCTGGCTTCGGATCAGCGCAGCTGCAGCCATTTGGGGAGTGCACCAACAGAAGGAAGACCTTTCTCTCTGTCTCTCTCTCTCACTGTCTGTAACTCTACCTGTCAAATAAATAAAATCTTAAAGAAAGCCTAACATAGAAGTAAATATTGATAAATTCAAGTCCTTTAAATTGGCAACTTTGTTTATCAAAACAGGAACAGCTTATCACTTTTTTTGAAAAGCATATTTTTTAATGTTTTTTGTCTTTTATTTTTTAATTTTTTAATTTTTTTTTTTTTTTTAGTTAGAGAGGGAGAGAGGTACTTATTTATTTGAAAGGCAGAGTTACAGGGAGGTAGAGGCAGAGAGAGAGGGAGGGAGGGAGGGAGAGAGGTCTTCCATCGCTGCTTCACTCCCCAGATGGCTGCAGTGGCCGGAGCTGGTGCAATCAGGAGCCAGGAGCGTCTAACCCCGCCCTATGGGATTCAGGCACTGCAGGTGGCGGCTGTACCCATTATGCCACAGCACCTGCCCTTGAATCTGTTCTTAGCTTTATGTGTGGATTGACTGTTTCTTTGGCATTGTCATTCACACTCCTTAGCTGATGCTGGAGCTACAGTCTGTCGGCTTGCTTGGTTGTGATTGGAAGCCCGCAGGTGCACAGCCTCTGGCGGTCCAGAAGTCTGGGTCATTATTATGTTCCTAATGTAAAATGCTACATACGTGAAAGCTACTTGGTTTTAAAATTCAAAAGAATCGCCCAACTAAACCTGACAATGTATTGTTTGTGATTTGACTGCATCTTTATTATTATAGTTAAGTGTTTTAAGACATAGTATAGTTTTCCCTGCTAGCTGGTTGTAATAATACCTAGTAAGTATTGGATGCGTGGTGGGTTACAGGGAGTACTCTCAGGTTGTTAATTCACTTGATCCGCAGCAGCCTCCTGGGTGGGCCCTGTGCCTGTGCATTGCCTGCAGACACAGCCGTTGTGCAGCAAAGACAGGACGTGCCAAGTCTACCTGCTGGGCGGAGAGTGCCCTCTGGGAGCTCTCGTTCCCCTCAAAGGCACTTTCAAGTGTTGTTTCCTTTTTATTTCTTTTAAGGTTTTATTTTATTTATTTGAAATGCAGAGTTACAGAGTGAGCGAGTGAGAGGGCTCTTCCATATGCTGGTTCATTCCCAAATGGCTGCAGTGGCCGGTGCTGGACTGATCCTAAGCCGGGAGCTTCTTCTGGGTCTGCCATGGGGGTGCAGCGGCCCAAGGACTTGAGTTGTCTTCCACTGCTTCCCGTGCACATTAGCAGGGGTCTGGGTTGGAGTGGAGCATCCAGGTTCCAACTGTGGCCCATGTGGGATGCGGACACTGCAGGCATGGCCTCACCTGCTGAACCACTACACTGACCCCGACTTGTTTGTTGTTGCTACAAATGAACATTTTAAAGTTCCTAGATAGTTTAGAAGTATTAGAACATTAAGATTATTTTTAGGCCGGCGCCACGGCTCACTAGGCTAATCCTCCGCCTTGCGGCGCCGGCACACCGGGTTCTAGTCCCGGTTGGGGCGCCGGATTCTGTCCCGGTTGCCCCTCTTCCAGGCAAGCTCTCTGCTGTGGCCAGGGAGTGCAGTGGAGGATGGCCCAAGTGCTTGGGCCCTGCACCCCATGGGAGACCAGGAGAAGCACCTGGCGGCGGCCATTGGAGGGTGAACCAACGGCAAAGGAAGACCTTTCTCTCTGTCTCTCTCTCTCACTGTCCACTCTGCCTGTCAAAAATTAAAAAAAAAAAAAAAAGGAAAGGAAAAAAAAGATTATTTTTAAAGTAAGGATTTTGAAATTTATTTTTATTTATTTATTAGAGAGCAAGAATGTGAGTGCACTCCCGTTGTTGGCTCACTCCCGAAATTCCTGCAGGGGCTGGGGGTCCGGAGCTCGGAACTAGGAACTCAGCCCAGGTCTCCCGCTTGAGTGGCAGGACCCCAGCTGCTTGAGCTATCACTGCGGCCTCTTAGGGCCTGCGTTAGCAAGCAGCTGCAATTAGATGTCAGAGCTGGCTTCGAACCCAGGTAGACAGGGATGCCACTCAACCGCTGGGCCACACAGCTGCCCGAGATTGCTTCTGCTGAGGGCGCCCACTGCTAAGCCACTGCTTGTAGTATTGGAGGCCACTTTGATCCCAGCTGCTCCACTGTGTTTTTTTTTTTTTTTAAGACTTATTTCTTTATTCGAAAGGCAGAGATAGAAGGAGGGCTGAAGCCAGGAGCAAGGGCCCGAGGACCTGGGCCATCTTCTGCTTGCTTTCCTAGGTGAATTAGCAGGGAGCTGGATAGGAAGTGAAGAAGCCAGGACTTGAACCAGCATCCATTTTGGATGCTGGCATTGCAAGTGGAGACTTAACCTTTTCGCCAGTGCCAGCCCCTGTTCCACTTTTGATCCAGGTCCTGCTGATGCCCCTGGGAAGTCAGCGAAGGATGCACCAGTGAGCCCAGCCATCCACGTAGGAAACCCAGATGCAGTTCCTGGCTCTCGGCTGTGACCGTTTGGGAAGAGAATCAGCAGAGAGAGCTCTGTCTCCCTCCGTGCCTCTCCTGCTCTGCCTTTCAGATAATAAATCTTCTTTTTAAATATTTATTTATTGAAGGGCAGAGTTAGAGAGAGGGGGGTCTTCCATCCACTGGTATACTCCCCAGATGGCTGCAACAGCTGGAGCTGAGCCAATTGAAGCCAGGTCTCCCATGTGGGTTCAGGGACCCAAAACTTGGGCCATCTTCTGCTGCTTCTCCCAGGCCTAAGCAGAGAGCTGGATGGGAAGCGGAGCGGCCGGGACTAGAACTGGCCGCCATATGGGATGGTGGCACTGCAAGCAGTGGCTTCACCCGCTACGCCCACAGCGCTGGCCCCGTAAATAAGTCTATTTATTTATTCATTTATTTTTAAGTCCATCTTGTGTAGACTTGCTGTTTTATACTGTGACAATACTTGCTCCACAAGGGCTGAGTTCACAGACTCTGGATCTGGAGTTGCAGAGTGTGCAGTGCTAAAAGTGTCTGTCCTCCCACTGGGCTTGTCCACAGGTATTCTGTTTTCAAATACAGACTCATTTTACATGCTACAGAATATTCTGAAATCGAGAACAAAGAGACTCCGATACGATGTAGAAAACCTGCATTATGTTAGGAATCAGGGGTTGTCACTGGCTAGCTTCACCAAGGGGGATTTCTTCAGTGTGCTGGGGGCACACAGAGCCAGTTCCCTGAGCAGCGAGGCCTCGCAGGCAGGCAGCCGGCTGTGCGGACCTGGAGGGCGCAGCTCTGGCTGTGGCTCGGCTCCGGGAGCCCGGTGCTTGTGTCTCCGCCCCGGCTGCAGACCTCCGGGAGCCTGTGCTCGGGCTGCTTGGAGCGAGGTGTCTCGCCCTGGCTCAGATCAGCCGTGCTCGTGAGAGCCGAGGTCAGAGAGCACCGATGCAGGCCCAGGTTCAGTCCCACAGGCAGAGGAGCGGTGTGGGACAGGCCGAGGAGCGGTGCGGGACAGGCAGCCCTCCGCGGCAGGGACAGGCCGAGGAGCAGTGCGGGACAGGCCGAGGAGCGGTGCGGGACAGGCAGCCGAGCGGTGTGGGACAGGCAGCCCTCCGCGGCAGGGGCTGGTACCTTGGCTTCAGCGTTGGGGGTTAACTTCTTTGTAGAAAGATTCTTGAGACCTGGGTGAGCTGAGTTACCAGTGTCACACATCTGTTGGCAAATGAGGATATACAATTAGGATTACTACATTTGTTCTGGACCAAGTTCTTGAGAACTTTTTGAATGCCAATCTATAAAGGATTGATTGGATTCTATAAAGGATTGATTGGATTCTATAAAGAATTGATTGGATTCTTTAGGTTTTTTGAGCTGCAGTGACCATGTCAAAGTAATAATTGGACTAGTGTTGTGGTGTAATAGGTAAAGCCAGGTTGAGTCCTGGCTGCCCCCCTTCTGATCCAGCTCTCTGCCGTGGCCTGGGAGAGCAGTGGAGGATGGCCCAGGTCCTTGGGCCCTGCACCCGTGTGGGAGACCTGGAAGAACCTACTGGCTTCTGGCCTCAGCCTGGCCCAGTGCTGGCCATTGCGACCATTTGGGAAATTAATCAGCAGATGGAAGATCTCTCTCTGTCTCTCCCTCTCTCTGTAACTCGCCTTTGAAAAAATAAATCTTTATAAAAAAAAGCGATCACCAGAAAATAATGAATCTGGTAAGTAGTATGTAGGGTGGGTGTGAGCAAGGAGTCAATCTGAGTTAATGGAGTGAGGAACCTGAGGCGGTGCCTTGATCTATCTGAAATTCCAGCTAACAGAAGAGAAGTGGCCGTCTGCCGTGCGTGTGGGCCAGTGGCCGCGTCGTGCTGCTTTCCTGGTGTTAATGTATTCACTGTGCTGTTCCTGTCTTCCTGGCACATTCTCTTTCAGACTTTGGAGTTAGTGCTTTTCTGGCAACCGCGGTGACATCACCCGGAATAAAGTGAGGAAGACGTTTGTGGGCACCCCTTGCTGGATGGCACCTGAAGTGATGGAGCAGTACCGTGTGCCGCGTGCCTTGTCTCTCTACAGCGGTTCCAGGCTGGTTACGAAGCCGAACAGTCTTAGTCGTATTTGCTCTCGCTTGATTTACCATTTAGCTCTGGGAAATACATGTCTCTTCTTTGGTTAAGACTTTACCCTTAAAAACAAAACACAACACCATCTAGAGCTTTACAAGGGCTGTGAGCGCAGGGTTTACTTGCCCGCAGCAGCCTGAGGAGTGGTCGGGCACGGTTGCCTTGGTAATTCCTTCGCACGGTGACGTGCCCGCGTCTGCTCCCCTGCGGTCCTCACGGCTCCGTCCTGGAAGGACCGCGTCCTCACGGCTGTCCTAGAAGGACCGTGTCCTCACGGCTGTCCTGGAAGGATGCGTCCTCACGGCCCTGTCCTGGAAGGATGCGTCCTCACGGCTCTGTCCTGGAAGGACCGCGTCCTCACGGCTCCGTCCTGGAAGGATGCGTCCTCACGGCTGTCCTGGAAGGACCGCGTCCTCACGGCTGTCCTGGAAGGACCGCGTCCTCACGGCTGTCCTGGAAGGATGCGTCCTCACGGCTCCGTCCTGGAAGGACCGCGTCCTCACGGCTCCGTCCTGGAAGGACCGCGTCCTCACGGCTCCGTCCTGGAAGGACCGCGTCCTCACGGCTCCGTCCTGGAAGGACCGCGTCCTCACGGCTCCGTCCTGGAAGGACCGCGTCCTCACGGCTCCGTCCTGGAAGGACCGCGTCCTCACGGCTCCGTCCTGGAAGGACCGCGTCCTCACGGCTCCGTCCTGGAAGGACCGCGTCCTCACGGCTCCGTCCTGGAAGGACCGCGTCCTCACGGCTCCGTCCTGGAAGGATGCGTCCTCACGGCTGTCCTGGAAGGATGCGTCCTCACGGCTCCGTCCTGGAAGGACCGCGTCCTCACGGCTCCGTCCTGGAAGGATGCGTCCTCACGGCTGTCCTGGAAGGATGCGTCCTCACGGCTGTCCTGGAAGGACCGCGTCCTCACGGCTCCGTCCTAGAAGGATGCGTCCTCACGGCTCCGTCCTAGAAGGATGCGTCCTCACGGCTCCGTCCTAGAAGGATGCGTCCTCACGGCTCCGTCCTGGAAGGATGCGTCCTCACGGCTGTCCTGGAAGGATGCGTCCTCACAGCTCTGTCCTGGAAGGACCGCGTCCTCACGGCTGTCCTGGAAGGACCGCGTCCTCACGGCTCCGTCCTGGAAGGACCGCGTCCTCACGGCTGTCCTGGAAGGACCGCGTCCTCACGGCTCCGTCCTGGAAGGACCGCGTCCTCACGGCTCCGTCCTGGAAGGATGCGTCCTCACGGCTCTGTCCTAGAAGGATGCGTCCTCACGGCTCCGTCCTAGAAGGATGCGTCCTCACGGCTCCGTCCTGGAAGGATGCGTCCTCACGGCTCCGTCCTGGAAGGACCGCGTCCTCACGGCTCCGTCCTGGAAGGACCGCGTCCTCACGGCTATCTCCTGGAAGGACTGCGTCCCCAGCTGCTGTGGCTGGGTGTGAGTGCACCCCTCCTTTAAGGAAACTGCTGCTTCTCAAACAGGGCTCATTTCTTACTGCTTCTCACCTCTTGGTGCGTGGGAGACCGCTGGCACCCCCGCTCCATCCACTTGCCAGCCTCCTCTGACTCGGCTCGCCTTCCCCGCAGCCCTGCTCACCCCTTCCCTGCCGGCCTCCTCTGACTTGGCTCGCCTTCCCTGCAGCCCTCCTCACCCCTTCCCTGCCGGCCTCCTCTGACTCGGCTCGCCTTCCCCGCAGCCCTCCTCACCCCTTCCCTGCTGGCCTCCTCTGGCCCGCCTTCCCCGCAGCCCTCCTCACCCCTTCCCTGCCGCCTCCTCCAGCTCGTCTTCCCCGCAGCCCTCCTCACCCCTTCCCTGCTGGCCTCCTCCAGCTCGCCTTCCCCGCAGCCCTCCTCACCCCTTCCCTGCCCCCCGCAGCCCTCCTCACCCCTTCCCTGCCCCCCAGCTCTCCTCACCCCTTCCCTGCCGGCCTCCTCCGGCTCGCCTTCCCTGCAGCCCTCCTCACCCCTTCCCTGGCTGTCCTGCTCTTCTCGGGCCTTGACACTTCGATCCGTGCTCTGCTTCCTGATGGTTTCTGAATTACATTCAAGCCGCCTCGTTTGCTGAGTCTGCGGACTGGTGTTTCCGTCCCCATTTCTCTTAGGCTGCTTTACGTAGACGTCTCCCAGGTGTTCCGAGCCCAGTGTGTGGAGACCTGAACTCACTGTTCCGATGAGGACGATGGGGACGCTGGGCACACGTCGTCTGACGGCACAGATGAGGATGAGGGCGTGTTCTCATCCCACGCGTACACAGTGGGGGTACACACTGCACCCGCGAGCAGAGGAGCAAGGGGCGCTGGCGGTCGGCTCCGCAGCCGTGGCTGAGCCCTGCGAGGGATGAGCGGGCTGCGAGGGCTGCGGGCTGCTGAGCAGGAGTCTTGCACTGCTGTCTCGCCAGGTGCCTCCGTCTTAAGGCAGCACGAACGTGGGGCCCTCCGTCTTAAGGCAGCGCTGCCAAACCCTTACCTCCTGCATGTAGCGTGGAGCATTTAATTTAGAAGCACATGCTGTTGGCAGTATAGAAGAGGCAAATCTGTCAGTAAAGTGCCGTCAGCAGTTCTATAACATTCACACCCTTTGTAAGTTTTTCATTTTAGAGGTTAAGGTGATGAAATACCATACAGAACATCAGGGACCCCAAACAGTTACTACCACTGTGGGAATTTTTAGTTCTTTCTCATCTCTTTTTAACTGGAGTATGTACCTGTTTGTAATTGTCTCGAGACCTAGGAGCAGGGACAGGTGTTGGCCTCGTGGTTGCAATGCCAGTTAAGGACCTGCATCCCACCATGGAGTGCGGGGGCTTGAGTCCTGGCTCCTCTCCCAGTCCCAGCTTATGGTTGGTGCTCACTCTGGGGGCAGCAGGTGACGGTGGCCTGCCACCTGCGTGGGAAACCTGGAGAGTCACGGACTGCTTTGGCCTGACACGACCTTGGC